GAGTGAGGGCCGTGGTGACCGACTCAAGTTTCTCCAGCCTGGAGTTGACCTTGCTCATGGATGCCATGAGTGAGGATAACATGGCATGTATGTCCCCTGGGTTGGACTGGCTAGATCCTTCCCCGGCATCCATGTTATTAGTCGATGTGCGTAGCAGTTTGAAAAGTTCTGCCTTCCTTGCTGTAGCGGGGTAGGGGATTTGTCGTCTCCTTAATTCCGTGGTTATACGCGGGATCGTCCAGGATCTGATTGATGCTGGACTAGCTAGCTCTCCTCCTTGTGTGGGAGTGACAGCTCTAGCCGGGGTGCTAGGCAGGGAGAAATCCTCTACCCCTTCCTGAGACATACTATAAATAAAACAATTAATTAGTATATAGAACCACCAAATTGTACTGGCAGGCTAGCTAGGCCAGATGGCGAAAGTATTATACTTGTTTGGTGACAGGTGAGGCCCTGCTAATTGCCAAGCGGCTTAAGAGGCTCTATCTATGCTTTGGCGCGAGGGGTTATTGAGGCCACTTGACGTAGTGGCAGGAGTTTTAGGCCTCTCGGTGACTGTACGACAGAAAACAGGGGAAGGGAGTGACAGGTGAGGCCCTCTCTATGCAACATGCGAGGCGGCTAGCTAACGTGTGGCCCGATGGGTGTTTGCCTCTGGAACGTTTGAGGCGGGGTGTTGGCCTCGCGGGACCACTAACTGATGGCGACTGCCAAGACGGGGTAAATACCTATTGGGAATCCTGTGACCCTATTGCCAGTACTTTAAACTAGGGGGACGAAATGATATGTATGGTAGAATACCATATGAGCAGATGTACGTACCTGGTAGTATGACAAATCACAGGAATAAACCGTGTGGAGTAAATATATAAGCTTGACAGCCTAAAAATGGGTAAAAGAGAGTAGTATGATGAGTGTGGAGTGTGAAAAGAACAGACTTAAAGTCTGTAGCAGCAATGTTTTGAAATTATGTTGATACCATGGGAATAGATATGAGTGGCTCAGAAATGTTTGCATGCTTGAATAAGACATCTGAGGGAGGCCGTGGCCTATGTACAACCAATCTATGTGTTATGTGATAATGGTGTGAAAAGGAAAACATGAAATGTAGGTTATATACATATGTATATGACTGTGCAGGAAACGTATGATTGGTTGGATCAGTACGTGTGATTCAACCCGAGTATGCATGAAAAAGGAATTAAGCCTTATGTGTCATCGTCATGACAGAGAAATGAGGCCTGTAACATAGGCTGAGTAATTTGAAATGAAATGGATAATTATAAAAACTCCTGGCGTGGGAGTTCAATGATCTGTACAGAAATGTAGCTGGTTTTGTAGAAAGGGACATGGATGAGGTCATGGCCTATTTTACACAGCGTTATGTATGATATGTAGCAGAATAATCAAAGGCAGGGATACCCAAAATGATTTAAAATGATGTAAAGTGATGTATATATATATATATATATATATATGATATATTTGTATTGAAAAGACGTATCAACCCGAGAATTATTGCTTAAATGAACCTGAATCCTTTGTATGTGTTGTAGTAATAACACAGAAATGAGGCCTGTAACGTAGGCTGAGTCCATTTGTATGAATGGATAAGTAATGCAGACCCCTGAAAGCGTGGGAGTCAAATGGTCTATACAGATAAGTGGACTTGATTTGTATGGACGTAATACAATACTGACAATATTTAAGAAAAAATAGAATAATCTATTTAAACAAGCAATTCTTAACCGAACGTTATATACACACGAAATGGTGAATATAATTCATGAAAGAATTATACATAATACATAGAAATAAAGCCGAAAACAAATGTGAGGGAAACACAGAAGTTAGAATAGTTTAACTGTATGAATTTATGCGAACCGAAAGCGTGTTTGAGCGTATGTGAAAATTGCCGAACGGCAAAACAATCGAGTGATAATTCGTTTCAATATAACATGAAATAGTGATATGAGAAATGACTATTGAACGATTAAATTGTTCAGCCGAATGACCGTATGAATGAAAAGCCCGCGAATGGCTTGAAACATTCGTGTCATAACCAGGGAAAAAAACGTAAAGCGAGGACCCGTGCTGTACCGTACGCCGTGGGAACCGGTCCTGGCGTGACAGGTAGGTCTGACTTACGGTTTAGGAGTCCCTGGGACGCGATCTACGACGAAGACCGGAGTCAGAAGAAGCTGGACGGGCGGAAAGGCCTGAACAGGATTCCTGGACACAGCTAACGTGGTGAAAACCTTGTGGATACTGAACCCAAGATGGCGTCTGAGAGAACCCGGAAGTGGATCCTCATTCAACGCTGACCTTGAACGGTAAGGAGCAAGGTAAGGGGAGTGACTTAAGTAGGTTAGGGGTAGCAAACCAGCACCTCCCACAAATCCAGGCAAATTGCCTTAATACATATGTGTGTGTGTGTGTAATTTCGTTCTAACTGTATTTTAAAATTAATATAAATAGATATCAAAAAAAGCCCCTCTGAAATTCCTGCCCTAAATCACGCTCATAAAAGAAAGACTGGTGCAATTCCCTCTCCCCCCAAGTAATTAAATAGAACTAAATAATATATATATATATATATATATATATATATATATACATAAGTATATACATATATATCACTATATATATATATATATATATATATATATATATACCAATATATAAATACAAATAATTTAAAAAAATTATATATATATATATATACACACGTATGTATATATATATATATATATATATATATATATATATATAATTTTACATAATTAGGTCATTTTATTAATTACAATTTGCAGGACCTGCATGACAACCCAGGCCGAAAGTCCAGGGAATTTAATTTGCTAGCACTATATTTAATCCTGTAACTTTCCAAGACACCATAAAACCTGTACATGGGGGGTACGGTTTTACTCAGAAGACTTTGCTGAACACAAATATTAGTGTTTAAAAACAGTAAAATGTATTACAACGATGATATCGTCAGTGAAAGTAAAATTTTTTGCATTTTTCACACACAAATGGCACTTACACAGATGATATAATTGTCGTGATGCGTTTTACTGTTTTGAAATTTCAGTTTTTGTTTACGTTTTGTTTTGATCACAACGTGTACATTTGGCTCAGTGCTTAAGGGGATAATTAATGTTTTTCTATTTAATTACTTGGGGGGAGAGGGAATTGCACCAGTCTTTCTTTTATGAGCGTGATTTAGGGCAGGAATTTCAGAGGGGCTTTTTTTGCCACCCAGCAACGCTTCTGTCCTATATTCTCACTGCGCAATTCTCTGCCATTTAGAAGTTAAATTACTTTGTTTATGCAGCCCTAGTCACGTCTCCCTGCATTTGACTTAGACAGCTTTCCTAAACCTTTCCTGTCATGAAAGACCTACTTTTTAAACTTTCTGTTTAATGTAAAATTTCTTATCTCATGCTCTAATCGCAGAGATAAAAACATGTAAAGCAAGTTAACATCTGACTGAAAATGAAACAATTTTTTTCATGTGGGCTGTGTGAATTACAGCCATTGGAAGTGTAACTAGGGCTGCATAAGCAGAAACAAAAGTGATTTAGCTCCCAAATTGCAGAGATTTGAGCAGTGAGACTGCATGGGTTATCATCTATACCAAAACTGCTTCATTATCTAAAGGTGTTTTAATGTATATAGGTTCCACAAAGGTTTGTTGTTCTGCCAGAGCTGTGTAACAAGAATGTTGCTAGTCCATCTGCAGAAACCAGTATATCTGGTTTTAACTATAACTGATCAACTCTCAATTCTCAACTTACTGAAGCATCTGACAGTGATCAGATAAAAAAATATATATATAAAAGAAGTAGAAGAAAATCCAAGTCGAGTAAAGGAGTGATCTAAAGAAAAGAACCAATATCCAATTATCTATAAAAAGTGAGCAGGTTATGCTCATGTTCGCAGAGAAGAGGTAGTGCTGCGTTTTTATATTTTTACCGTTTGAGATATGCTATGATAGTTTTGCATATTTCTTATACATGTCTTTTGATTTGTGTGCATTGTTGTAGAGCATGTTCTCAGCAGTATTCCATAGACGGTAATCCACATTGAATAGGTTCGATACAGTTCACTTTGTATTTTCAAATCACTGGGAATTCCATGCACTATTTATCATGACCTTTGTATTCTCACTCTTTATTCTTTTGAAAATTACTTTGCCGTTCTCCCTTGATGGTTGTTCATTTCCTTTAACATTTACGGATGGCAACACTGTACTGATGTGAACACGTTGATGTAACCTTAGGACTTCCTGCTTCCCGAACAAACATACAGTCTCCACCATAAAACTCTCCTGTTTATACTGTGATTCTTTAACCCGGTCATCTGACTGCTTCCTGGATTACTGATTTACTTACTTGACACTTGTAAGATAGATATGCAACATAGATATTCTTTAGATTTTCTTTTTAAAGGACTTGGTGACATGTCAACCTGATCCCATGAATATATTGAATCTCCATATCTTGTTGGCAACTTGTATACAAGTGATTAGCCTTTTTATTTGCACATGAAGCTGATATCACTCTACGGGGTGGTCCTACTGGCGTGTAGTATGCTATATATATATATATATGAAGGAGCAGAAGAATAATTTGAGGTTGCAGTCGTCAACCCCCTTGCCAGCCCTTTCATGGATTAACATAGGGGCTGATGGAGCTGCAGCTACAGGCCCAGGCCCATGGAATAGGCCCATTGATTTTTTTTTAAATGTTTTTTTTTTTTTTTTACACACTACTCTTAGGGTTGCCAGGGTGGTATTTATTTGAGGCTGCCTGGCCGTGCCGATATTCCAGTATTACCAGCAATACAAATGCTGGTATTTTTCTCAGTATAAACAGAGATTACTCTGCAATACCAGCACTGGGCAGTAGGGGTCGCTGTGTGTGTGGAGAGAGGCAGCATATACCTGCATCTCTCTACTCGCTGATCCGCGGGGGAGCATCTACACAGCACAAAGGGTCCAGACAGCAGCTCTCAGCCTGCAGAGACAGCCTACAGCTCAGGGAAGTGAGGGATGGGGTAAAGGCTGCAGGGAGACATGGGGACACTGAGACACTAGGGGACACTGTGAGACATGGGGACACAGGGAGACCTCTGGGGATGCTGAGACACTTGAGGACACTTGGAGACACGGGGACACAGACACACATAGGGACACTGAGACATGGGGACACAGACACACATTGGCAAACTTGGGGACACTGAGACATACGGACACTGAGACACTAGGGGACACTGAGACCTGGGAACACTCAGACACTAGGGGACACTGGGAGACATGGGTATATACAAACACTTGGTGACACAGATACACATGGGGGCACTGAGACATGGGGAAACAGACACAAATGGGGACACTGAGATATGAGGACACTGAGACACTTGGGGATACTGGGAGACATGGGGACACTGAGACACTAGGAAAGCATTGTCCCCAAGTGTTTGTGTCCCCATGTCTCCATGCCAGTGTCTCTGGTGTCTCAGTGCTCCCATGTCTCCCAGTGTCTCAGTGTCCCTAGTGTCTCAGTGTTCCCATGTCTCCCAGTGTCTCCATGTCTCCCAGTTTCCCCAAGTGTCTCAGTGTCCCCATGTCTCTCAGTGTCCATTAGTGACATGGGGACACTGGGAGATATAGGGACACTGGGTTAAATGGGGACACTGGGCAACATGGGGACACAGAGACATGGGGACACTGGGAGACATGGGGCACTGAGACACTGTGATACATAGGGACACTGTGATACATAGTCTCAGTGTCCCCAAGTCTCCCAGTATCCCCAAGTGTCTCAGTGTCCCCATGTCTCACAGTGTCCCCTAGTAACATGGGAACACAGACACTAGAAGACACTGGGCTACATGGTAACACTGGGTGACATGGGGACACTGGGAGACAGAGAGACACTGGGAGCAATCCATCTATACAGCAGATTCAAAATGTAAGTAGTTTTTAGGTGATTTCACAGAATTTTCTCTTACTCCTTGTGATTTACATAATGTGATGTAACGCATACATAATTAGTTATGCAAATTAGTAAGGCCTGTATTTTTTCCAAAAAAGGTGGCAACCCTAACTACTCTTCACATACTCTTGCTTAAGAATGGAAACTTAAAAGTGATATATGGAAACAAAACTTGTGTGGACTAGCTGAAATGAAATTAGTTAAGGTAATGCTGACTTTGGTCTCTCTAACACTGTGGCATATTCCCTTTCTTCTATACTCACTACATCTACCTTTTCTCTGTCTCAGACTGTATACCAGGAGCTTCTGCCTGCAAGTAAGAAGGTAAGGAGACATGTGAGTGCTAGGGGACAGTCCTTAGAAAGCATGGAGCGAGCGCATCATTAGATGCATTTATGCCAAGCTCAGGATGCTGTTGGCCAGCATGCATGATTGGCAGGCAGCCTGACATGCATTCATGCCAGACTAGCCTTCCAATTCTTTGGGCAGACACGCCTCCTCTTTGGGCATGTTCGTCCCTTTCGGGAGTTCTGGTTACACGATCCGCGTCAGTGGCCCATTGACTTCCTGCTTTACTGGACACTGCTGTTAGGGGGTATGGATTTACCTGAAAGGTGAAAGCATGAATTAGAGGGAAATTATCATATTTTAAGAGAATCTGAGTTTTCTTATAGCTGCATCCTATGAGTTTCCCTCCGGCAACATCTCCACCAGATACATAACGCTTAAGAGGTATGACTGTTTTAGTGTTTTTGGTCGATAAGATTCTGTACTTAAGCCCCTCATAATTGTCAGCACCAGACCCACTGGGCTCTTAATCTGGCCCTGCCTGTGGGCCGGTTCTCTCTTCAATCCTTGACAGCCTTCTCATGTGTACAACCTCCATGAATAACAGCATTGTATTTTACCATTACAATGCAAGTTGCTGGAGAATTTGCTGAAGTACCTCCTGCACATGGGCTCTATCAAGACAAAGACACAAGGGGTAACAGAGCCATATTACAGATGGATTTCTAAGATTATTATTATTATTGGCATTTATACAGCACCAACTTATTCTGCATCGGTTTACAATGTTATAAAGGGGGAAACGATTACAAAATGTTACAGGAACAAAAGGTTGATGAGGATGTTGAGATGGATTTCTAAAAAAGAGTTCTTCATGGCAAAACTGTCTCAGTGATGTTTGGAATTATGACCAAATTGCTTGTAGGGGCTCTCTAAGCACTATAAGCACTCTTCATGATTATAATGTTTATTATAGCAGTTATGGTACTGTGAGGCTTAGTAAGATGTCCTTCAGGTCTTCATCAAACTATTTAAAGAAACTATAAAAAAGATTAGATATTCCCCAAATCCCTAAACCAACCTTTTTGTGTGGGTGACTTTATAATGAGGAGTTTCTCTTCCTTGGCATAAATTCAAAATAGTCGTACAGCATTCTTGGCAACCTTACAATGGGGTGGTCCCAAATAAATTGTTGCACCAGGGCCCTCTCTGTGTTAGTTCCCTCACTGATTAGTTATGCCTTCAGTCCTTCAGCAGTCCTTTGCCTACTCCTTTTCAGGATGGGTCTGCCCAATATGGGTCACTGGCGACATCTCAGGTACACTCCCCTTGTCTTTATCTGGATATCTCCAATGTTGAGAGATATGTTTTTTTTTACACAAAAGAGCTCAATAATAAAGTAATTAAATCATTCAACTATTGAACTAAGGCATTCAGAAATATCCATTACCTTTAATACCTGGTTTATAAATGCTTTTCTGGAAAATTCTTGCCCTACCGGAACAGCATGCTTACTACAACTCATTTCATTTGCTATAACATCAGAAGCACAGACAAGTTATTTTCTGTTTATATAACAACAAGAAAATGGGTCTGGCAGATTAACCCCTTAAGGACACATGACATACCTCCCAAGTGTCCCTAGTTTAGACAGACAGTCTCTAAATGTGGCCCAAATCAGTCTGTCCCTCTTTTCTCTGAGCTCCATATTGTTTGTGTCTAAGTGTATAACAGAGCTTCACAGCAATAATACTTACAGTAATGTGTCTTTAAACTACAATAAATGTGTTTAGACATCAGACTGTGTAAATAAGATACATTGTTTTTATCTTAAATATCATTACAGCTGCTTAATTATTAGTAAATCAGCTAAAATTTCTCAGAACAGCCTCTGCCCTGGCTACACTCCCACGCACACCACTAAATTTAAAGTTTTCCTCTTTGTCCATTTGAAATGTTGGGAGGTATGGAATAATCTTTGCGTCTTTAATCAGATCAAAATTGTAACTTTGTATATGATCAGATCAAATCTTTAATTTATGTTAATGTTTAACTGTGTTTGTTAATATGTAATCCTTTTGATGTGTCAAAGGACATTGCTGAAAACTTTCTCGGTAGAAAACCTTCATAAAAAAACAATTGCCACCTCCGAATGAGAGTTCCTGTTGTTGCGCATGCAGAATACGAGAGAGTTAGTGGGTAAACACTTTTCTGTGAAATCTGTAAGCATTCCTCAGAAACTCTATCATAAATTAAGTAGACATATCTTAAAATAATAAGTGGATACATATGCAGTGTATATGAGTTTTGCTGCCTTGTTAAAGGAACATTCCAAGTACCCTAATCATTGCAGTAGACTGTATGTAGTCAACTCGTTTCATAATGGTTTGATCACTTACCTGGGGTCCAATGGGCACCTGCTGCTGCCTCGTCCTCAAATGGAAGCTCCTGCAAGGAAGAGGCAGTGGTGGGTGTCTGGCAGTCCCCAGGTAATTGCTCAGGCTGTAGTGGTGATGGTGCTTGGAGTGTTCCTTTAATAAAACTTTTATAAGACATTTGATCAAATTGCAAGAAAGTAGATAAAAATAGCTACCTCCAAATTATGTAAACAGCACTTCCCGTGTTTCTTTGCTACATAAATGGAAAGTTAGGGATCTACTCCATATTAATTTGCCCAGTTTAGAAAAATATTAATAATACGAAATTAGTACAAAGCTGTAAAAGTGGGGAAATCGTAATGTAAAATAGTTGCACCAGCTGAAGCATTCTCTTCCTTTCCATGGAATTTTTTTTTTTAAACTTTGTCTTTCTTAAAAGGACACTATAGGTTTCCAGACCACTTCAGTTTATTGAAGTGATCTGGGTGCAGTGTACCTTTTGCACTTAGTGCTGCAATGTTAAACATTACAGTTCTAGAGAACAGCCAGAGGAGGTACTTTTTGCATCCAAAAGAACCCTTGGACTGGTATCTGACTCTGGACGTCCTCATGTTCTGCATGAGGACATCCAGTGTCAGACTTTTCCCCATAGGAAAACGTTGAAGTTTGGGTTTGTTGGATTATAATCTGTTAGTTAATATGCTTTTCGCTCTGTTGGTTAGCCATCTGAACTGCAGGTGGGTCAGTAGAACGTCTTCTGTGCGAAGATCCACGGTCTGGGAATCCAGGTGATGGAAGATTGGGATGTCCCTTCTTAGAAGCACTACTATGTTCTTGGAGCCAAACTGAGACCAAAAGTAATTCCCTGTAATTTCCCATGCAGGATGGATGGTAATCTGGTAGTAGGCATCCTTCATATCGATTGATGTAAGCCAGTTTTCTTGATGAATGGCTTGATGGAGAGAGGAGATGGATTCCATCTTGAAAGAAACCTTCTTTAGAAATGAATGTACTCTCTTTAGGTTTGAGAGTAACCTCAATTTCCCCTAGGGTTAGGAGTCAAGAACACATTTTTCAAGGGGCTTTAGAACCACAGCCTGAGCAGCGATTAGAAGTTTGCTTCTTCTTCTATTGTGAAGCATCTTGTGATAATTAAGGACTGAAGTGGCAGGGCCACATGTTAGAAAATATTTAGGGCGTCACTGCACTCTTTTGTTTCCCCAGATACAGGACACAACTTTTTGTTCTCAAATTACTATCAGGGTAGGTGGGAGAAGAAGCCATCCTTAAAATAAATAAATAAACCCAAATAAACACTAAATAAAATAAAATAAAGAAATGAAATACGAGAAAAAAAAAAGAAATAGAAGAAACAAATAAATAAAAAAAAGTCCTACCTGAAATTGACAGGATAGGTGACTAGACAGCACGCAGCCAGACAAGCACCAAAACACAAAAAAGGATGTGGTATTCTTACATTTTAAAATTTCCCAGCAAAAACCTAGCAAAATTAATGTCCCTTTAAGAGTCTGACCAAATTGTGCAACGATGCTCCAAA